GGGCTTGGATTTCAGTTATGTCTTCATCATAATCATTGTCTAGATTGTCATCTAAACAATCATCTAATTCTTCTAAGTCCTCTGTATCAATATAAAAGCATTTAAGCATATCCTTTCTTTCTGCTAATTGGGGAACTGTATTGCCATTTTGTTTTTCTTCATTTAATCTTTCCTTAAGTAAATTACGAAAATCAATTACTTCATCAGTTTCACCAATTCTTGATATCCAGTCTGCTCTATTAGTTCTTCCTGGTATGTATATTATTTCAAAATCCATATCCATAAGTGCCATCACCCATTTAACAGTACTTGTATTCAGTTTGTTTTGTACAAATGTTTGTACCAAATTTTGGTGATCAGTGTAGAGAAAAATTTCTTATACTGTAGATAATGGGAGAATTTTTGTACTGCCCAATATACTGCAAAAGCCTCTTTTTGATAAGCTGCATATCTTAGTTGTGTATTGATTAGGAGCTTGGAAGCAAAAGAAATTGGTTTTCTTATTTTCTTTCCATCTTCTTCCCATTCTTGTTCTAGAACTGCACCAACTGCATAATTAGAAGCATCTGTTGTTAAATAGAATGATTTAGTAAAGTCTGGCAGTTGAAGGATTGGGGGCTCTGTCATTGCATTCCTTAGTGTTTCATAAGCTTCCTCTGCTTTTTTTGTCCATTTCAGTTTTTCTGTCTTTTGGTGTACTTTTAATAATTCTCTCAAAGGTTTTGTGATTTTTGCAAAATCTTTAACAAATCTTCTATAATAACCACAAAATGCCACAAAACTCAACAGAGTATTTGCAAACATAGGTAATTTGGCATCTTTTATTTTTTGAATCTTTTCAGGATCAGTTTCAATACCATTCTGTGTAATTCTATGACCAAGGAATTGAACTGATTCTTGTAGGAATGCACATTTGCTCAGTTTAATTCTGAAGTCTTTTTCCTTGATTCTTTCCATAAGTTTCTGTAGAGCTACAAAGTGTTCTTCCAATGTTTTGGTAAAAACTATAATATCATCCATATAATTAATGCAGAAGTTTTCCAATCCATTAATAACAAAATTTGCCATGATATAGCTGAAGTGTGAAGGTGCATTTGCCAAACCAAATGGCATGCGGTTGAATTCAAATAAACCAAATGGTGTAATAAAAGCAGTTTTCTCCTTATCTTCTTCTTTAATTGGAATATGATGAAATGCACTTGTTAAATCCAATATAGAAAAATATTTGTGGCCTCCTCCAAGCTTATCAAATAAATCTTCCTGATGTGGGATTGGATAACAATTCTTTTTTGATTGCTTGTTAAGTTTTCTGTAATCCACACACATTCTTAATGTTCCTTCTTTCTTTTTCACAAAAACAATGGGTGAAGCCCATTGGCTTTTGCTTGCTCTAATTAGACCATTTTCCAATAATCCATTTAATTGATCCCTGCATTCCTGCTGTTTGTTGGGTGGCAATCTGTATGGTCTTTGTTTGAAAGGCTTTATATCTTCCAATAATTCAATTGCCATTGGTGGAACATCTGGTGAACCAATGTCATTCTGATTTGTAGCAATAATATCTTCATAATTCTTTATCATTTCTTTTAATTCTTCTCTGTTCTTGTCAAGATTATTTTTGGACACATGTAAATAATTGTCAATTTCTAGTGTATTTGAATTAATATTGTGTACATTTTGATTAGACAAATGTTCAAATTCAATACTTTCCAACTGTAATTCTTCTATTTCAGGAGTAACTGGATTTTTCTTTTGTTCTTTTTGCACTTTGATAGTTATTCCATCTTCTAATTCTATGTATTGTGGTTTCATTTCCATTTCCATAGCCAAGTCTTCAGTTTCTTCTTCAGAGGAATTTATGAGAATAACTGAGTCATTGTCAGACTTAGGTATATTTCCAGTCTCTTCATCAGATGAGTCTATAACCATTATGGAATCATTGTCAGACTCAATTGTGTTACTGGTCTCTTCTTCAGATGAGTCTATAACAATCATTGAATCATTATCAGGCTCAGTTATGTTATCAAGCTCTTCCTCAGATGAGTCTATAACAATCATTGAACCATGATCAGAATCAGTTGAATCACTAATTTCATCTTCAGATGAGCTTGTACCATTGATTATATCCAAATCTGAGTCTGGGCTGTGATCTGATTCAATACTTGTTTCTGTATCATAATTTTCAGAAGTACTGGAACTTTCATCTGTGCCATAATTGCTATTTGAATCAAAACCATTGAATCCCTCATAAACTATGCTTGAACCATGAGTGTTGCTTGTATCATAGCCAGTATCTGGATCAGTAACTTCCATTTCTGAGTCCACACTATCTGAAACTTCGGATGGAGTATCAAAAACTTCAGATGGAGTGTCAGAATCTTCAAAATACTGTCCCATCATTCCAACAGTTACTTTTTTTACACTGCCTTGTTTTCCAAATTTTGTTTGGTGATTTTCGTTATATTGCAAAAACTTTCTAACTGGTTGTCCTTTTCTGATAAAGAATGGAAGAGAAACTTGTTTTGTTGCAAAATCAATAAGAGCTCCAGCATTTTCTAAGAAATCACAACCAAGTATTATAGCCATATCTAGTTTTTCCATAATAAAGAATTCTTGTTCCATAATTCTTCCATTAAATTGAATATTCAGTTTTGTTTTTCCTTTTGTCTTTAAAGCATTTCCCTCTGCTGAAGTGATGATTGGTAAGCCAGTAGTTTCTTTCTTGATGAATTTAGAATCCATTAACCTGATTTCTTTTTCTGTAATAAATGACAAAAGTGCTCCTGAATCACATAAAGCAATAACCTCTCTTCCATTATGATTTTTCATTCGAAATTGGAAATCTTTTCTGCCTTTTACCAAAGAAGTACACTTAAAATGTGCGATTTTCTCTTCTTTGAGATTAAATATTGCCATTCTTCCTTTAGAAATTTCAGTTTCATTAGGTTCATCAGGTCCAACATGTATTAGTCTGTTAAAGCTGCCTTTTTCATTATTTCCTGCATTTCCATTTCTTTGTTGTTGAAATCTATTTTGAGAAAAAGGTTTAAATGTATGTTCATTTTGATTTGAGTTACTCTGATTGTTGTCAAATCTCCTTTTGTACTGTTTGAATTCATTTTCGCTTTCTTTTCTTGCATTATCAAAAAATATTTCTGCTCTTTTTGCCAATTTAATATACTGATTAACTGAGTTAATCTTTCCATCTTTTTCCACATGATTAACAATTTTTCCTTTAAGACCATTCCTGAATACAGTTAACAGTTGAAGTTCTCTAACTCTTTCAGTAACACAAGCCATTTCAGTAGTATTGAATGGTAGGAATTTTTCCACAAGTTCTTTACTTCTTCTAACAAAACTTTGGACAGTTTCATCATTGAACTGTCTCAATCTATCAATTTCTTTTTTGTAAGCCATAGGATCTGGATTAAATTCTTCATCCAATGCATCCCAAATTTCATTTTCATTTGCCATGGAGGGTAAACTTTCAATAACATCTCTGGCTCTTCCAGTAGTGTATTTTCTCAGCATTCGAACTCTTTTCTCTTCTGTATCCCAAAGGTTTAATTCACAAGCTGTTTGAAAGTTCCTCTTAAAGGCCCAAGTATCTTTGCTACCAGAATAGGGTCTCAGCAAAGTAGTATTAGGTTTCTCATTAGCATCAATTAGAAGACTTGCAATTGTCTTTTCCAAAGCATTATCTTGAATGCCATCATAACTGAATTTTGGTTGAGTAGGATCAGGATTAACCATACCTTCAGGAATTGTAGCTGCCCCAGTCATCAAATGGTACTTTAAAAAGCTATTACCATCAACTTTGGCTCCACTACTTTTAATTCTCAACATTAATTCATTAATTTTTGAAAGATACTCATCTACTTCCTTGGCTCTGGCTTTGTCATTCTCATAAACCAAAATAACATTCATTGAAGTAGCATTGTGGGCTGTCGACTGCGCCATATTTGTACTTTGTTGTATTGTAATTGTAGGAATTTCTGGTTCGTCACAACTGTAATCGTCCTTTCCAATCATTTACCAACTTGCCAAAGTACTGGTCCAAATAGAACCTTTAAAGTTCGTCCACAAATAGTCTAACAAAGGCAATTTCGGTAGAAATTGATTAACAAAACACCAGTATTTCGTCCAAAGAATATGTATTGAGTAAAATGAGCTTCTAGTTCTAAACAAGCTAGTTTAAACAACTAGCTGACGGTTAGAAAACTGAACTATCAACTGTTAATTTCGTAGGGTTTATATACTCTTTTAAAGGTTGATAGTTCACAAATTTCAATGTTCACAAAAACAAAAGTAACATTTGAAGACAAAGAAAAGTTCTAAATATGGTCATGTTTTTATTGTTTTCCTCTTCTAAATAATAGTTGAATTTCGAAGGTTGGAGAGTTGCATAAGATGTAACAATTTTAGTAGGACAAGTCCAACAATCAAGAAAACATGTAGATTGTATATTTGACCGTTTTTATATTCTACCTTAATAATGATATTCAATTGATTGAGTTAGTAAATTTAGCATCAGCATATAAGGAGGAAGTATATCTGATTAATGCATGTTAAAAAGAACAGTATTGTGTATACAATACTGTTGAATAGTGAATATAATCTAACCTTAGAATTTAAGCATAATTGATAATTAATTGAACTAGTTTTAGTTCGAAATCATAAATTTATGGATTAATAAATTGTAATATTAATGCTAGGTTGCAAATAGCAAATATTCTTTATATAATTCAATAGGTTTTATTACTGCATAATGTGTATGCACTGCCCTATGCGAAACTAGGTCACTACTGCTTATCTTTATCAGTGCTATCTGCATAGTACAATACTGGTTCAATACTACTTCTCTATTGTAGAATATAGCTGACGAATGTATGTGTACATTGATCATTTTCAGTTGAAATTTCCACTTCATTGCAAAAGTCAGGTACTGTTTCTGGAATTTCTGTTGACACTGCATATTCACTAGAAAAATCTGCAATATGTTATTCATCATCAACAATTTCATCTGCTATCCTGTGCTCTTGATAAACTCCAAAATGAAAGGAAAAATTAATATCAGATGGTTTTGGAGAAGTAAATTTGTCATTAATGTCTTCCTCTTGAGGTGCAATTTGTGATGGTGGCATTATCATTTGCATAGCACTACTTTCATTCAATTCATTCTGCTGAGTTTTTTTGAATTTGCATCTATTCAGTTGTATAATAACTTCTTTATTGTTTATTTCTTTGCATTGAGTGCAATATTTTCCTATTTAAAAAGTAATATTTAAAATGTGAAACTGAAATTATTCACAGAGTCTGACCTTCAATACATTTGACATGGAATATGTATTTGCATAGTACACATTTCATTTGCTTTTCCTTTCCATGAAAGTGTTTGTTACAACTTTTGCATGCTGCCATTTTGAATCCTGATGTAATGCTACATTTAAAAACATTCATTTAATTCAAAATTCGCTACTTTTTACCTGCCAAATAATAATAATACATTATGATAAATAAAGAAAAATAATACTTACAATAATTACACATATATAACACCAGTTTTAAAGCAGTTTCAATGAATTTTCCTCAAAAGTAAACAGCTTAAAAAAACAGGAAGTAGATGTAACTAGAAAAGAAAACTGGTATGAAATGAATATTTTTCTTATACTTTTAAGATATCTAACTAATCCTTTATCAATTAATTTTCAAGTTCTTTGTTGTAAATATTTTTTTTTGGTTTCATGTTAAGAAAATTCTTTCTATTAAAGTTGTGCACATTTGCTATTTCAGCTGTGGACGTTTTCCATTTTACTTGTGGACGTTTTCAATATTTGTGTGGACGTTTTCCATATTGCCTGTGGACGTTTTCCATAAATTTGTGGACGTTTTCCATTGTGGACGTTTTCCATGACCCCCATTAAATTAGTATTTGTCAATTAAAAAATATTAATTATGACAATGAATTATATAAAGAAAATGCATTAAACTTCAAGTCAATGTAGCTCCCAAACCAAAAGAGATAATTGAATTTTGTAAAAAGATTTGGAATTGGTGTATTAATATTAGTATATGTACAAAATTTCAGAGCTCTGACTTTTATATTAACAAATTTAGTTTTTTTGAATGTCGAATATTTTTGTTTATATAAGCTTTTAATAGAGTTGATATATAATGTTTCTTATAATCCATATCTCAGCAACTACTGGGCCAATTTTGATCAAATTTGAACCAAAATTATTGTCAGGAAAAAATAATAACAATTAGAGGGATGTTCTGCATAATACATAAATATTTCTTATTCCAAAAATATTAATAGAAATGTGATGAATTGTATAAAGAAAATATATTAAAGTTTAAGGCAAAATTGAAATTTAAAGTAAATATATAATATAATATAACTTTACAATTCTGTCTTGCTGTTGGTATTAAATTTATAATAATTACTTTTCATTCTTTACTATAATTAATATTTTTTTCTGAATTTTAGCCAAAAATAAAAGTTATTTGTAAGAGTGATCAATTCTTCTCAGTTTAATAATTTTTTACCAAATGTTTGAATCAAATTTCTTGGTTAATATATATTTTTATCATTTTTTTTAATATCTATTTCTTCAAAATAAATAACACTTTCTTCATCTCTGCCTCTTCTGCTTGCTCATCCTTTTGGTGAGTTTGTTTCTCTTCTTGTTTTCCTTCTGTTTCTCCTGTTCCTTTTTCTTGTTTTCTTGTTTACCATGTTTATTTTTCTTATTGTCTTAATCCTTTTCTTATAGACCTCTTCTTCCCAAAACTTTTTCTATTGGTTCTGATGGAAATCATTCTTTTGAATATTTTTATATACTTTTAAAAGGAATCTTGAATTGTAGCATTTGGTTTGCTGTGGTTAAATTGATAAAAGTATTCTTTATATATCTCTCCAATGTTTAATGAAATCAATTATATATATATATTTGAGAAAGAGGAAAGTAACATATAAAACCTATTCAATACATTAATATTGTATTAGCTAACTTTTGTTTTATGTAAAAAAAACTTTACAGCTCTATAATGAAAAATTTTCACTGAGTTGTAATGCAAGATTAAACTTTAAGGAAAAAACTTTTTAGAAGAAATAATAAGAAATAAAAATGTGATCATAACCTTATTTAAATAAATCCCACTTGAAAAATATCAACTTTTTTAGTGAATTATAAAGGGGAAATATATTAAAGTTTGAAGCACTGTAGCTCAAAAACTACAAAAGATAATCGAATTCAAATAGAATATACTGTATATAACTCTAACTTTATAAGGAAAATGTAGCTGACATTAACTGACCCTTGCTGAAAAAACATAATAGATTGTTAAATTTTGTAAAAAAATTCAAAATTGGAATACCAAATCTAAATGTTCTTCAATCAAAATAAAAGACAATATATATTTTCTGTACATTTATAGGTTTAGGAATATTTTATTCTTCAACTTCTTGATGGTAAGAAAAAGGACTATAACTGAATATTTAAATGTAAGCTATATACATCAATTTTTTTATTATATATATATATATATATATATTTAAAAGAATTGTGTTTTTATGATTGGCATTATCATACTATTCTAAATACAGAATTACAAACATGTAACTTAATTAACAACAGAGTTAGTCCAGCCATGATGAATATTTCCTATAGACCTATATGTAAGAAATAACAAGCATAATTTGATGGTGCCATAACTCTGGAACTGTAAGAGATAACTGAATTGTGTAAAAAGATTTGAGATCGGCGTAGTGATATTAGTATATGCACCAAATTTGAAAGCTCTAACTTAAATATTAACAAATTTGATTTTTTTATGACGAATATTTTTGATTGATGTAAGCCAATAACAGTGTTAAAATAGAACATTTATAAGAATCCATATCTCAGCAACTACCTGGCCGATTTTGATGAAATTTGAAGTAAAATTAATGACAGAATGAGACTATATCAAATTAAAATGAATCAAAATTGTAAAAGTTAATTGAAAGAAAGTTTTAATATTTTTTGTTTAAAAAATGTTTTATTTAAGAAGCTATATAAAAATTAGAAAAAAAGAAATGTCTTTAAACTAAAATTAAAAACATACAAAGGAAAAACAAATACATTTTAAAACAGTTTTCAACTGTTTTTGCTATTTCTTTCTATTTTTTTTTAAATAAATCAACAGTTATAAATCCCTGTTGCTTATGATACTTCTTGCAAATAAAAACAATCACTCTGATCTCAATCTGCCAATTAAGTACAATTTGTTGAATTCTTTTGAACACAACTATATCATAACAATAAAAATATTTACAACATCAAAAGTGTATAACACTTCTTTAACTGGCAATAACATCTATTTCTTCTTCAAGATACATAGCTTCTTCTTCATCTTCTTCTTGATCAACATCTTGATCTGCATTCTCTGCTTGCTGATTCTTTTGCTTATTATGTTTTTCTTAAGAGTCAGATTAAATTTGAAAGAAAAAAATTATTAAAACAAATTGTAAGCAATGAAAATGTGAGCAAAACCTCATTCAAATAAATCACACTTGAAAAATATCAATTCTTTTAGGGATTTATATAAAGGAAATGTATTAAACTTTGAAGCAGAGTAACTTAAAAACTAAACAACATAATTGAAATCTGTGTAATGGTAAGATTTAAAATTGGCATCCCAAAATTAGTTAATACAAAGTTCTATATCATTAAATTGTGGAGGAAAGAGTACATCAATGAAAATTTTGAAAAAGAACTATGTGTCTTTTTGTAAATATTAATAAAGGTTTAGTATTATTTTTCTTTTCTTAATTTTTAAATAAGATAAAAAAATTGGCCACTGTGATATCATTATCTACTTTCAATTAGTTGTTAATAACTGTACAACATAGTTGAATTTTGTAAAAATATTTTTAATTGGCATATCTTAAATGCTATATGTACAAAAATTAAAAAACTATACATATATATATATGTTTACCAATTAATCTTTATTATCATTTTATAACAAATGTTTTATGTAAGGCAGTTGCACTTTGTACCTTAATTAATAACAGAGTATGCACAACCTAGACAAATATTTTATATAGGCTTTTATAAAAGATTATAACCAAAATTATTGTTAGAAAATAATATGAACATTTATAAAGACATTCCATATATTAAATTAATATTTGTCAATTCAAAAATATGAATTATGACAATGAATTATATAAAGAAAATGCATTAAACTTCAAGTCAACGTAGCTCCCAAACCATAAGAGATAATTGAATTCTGTAAAAGGATTTGGAATCGGCATATCAATATTAGTATATGTACAAAATTTCAGATCTGTATCATTAATATTAACCAATTTAGTTTTTTTATGAGGAATATTTTTGATTGATGTAAGCCAATAACAGTGTCAAAATGGAACATTAAAGAGAATCCATATCTCAGCAACCACTCGACTGATTTTGATCAAATTTGAAGCAAAATTAATGGCAAAAAATAATACTATCAATTGGTTGTATTTTTCTTACGCGAAATAAATAAATTGTAAGTTAAATGTTGAAAACATTATTTATTTTTTGAAGAAAATTTTTTTCTATACATTTAAAGGCTTAAAGAAATTTATTTTATGCTATAATTTTTTTGATTGGTAAGAAAAAAAGATTAAGAAAAGAACACATCACTGCATATTTAAATAATTAATTTATAGAATTAACTAAAGTCAAGCTTTGAAGGAGAGTTGAACTTTGTAAGTTTAAATTAACTTTGTTTGACAAGACAAGGGTGAAAGTATTCAATGGTTAATAGTTGTTTAGTGAGTGCTTGCATATTATGTAAAAAGGTGATCAAGGGAAAGATCACTAAAAACCTTTTCAATTGTTTGATTAATTAAATTGTTTACAGAAAAAAACTCTTAACCAAGAAGATGTATATAAATATAACTGGGTGTTTTTAATATTCATTAAATCAGTCTGAGGTTTGACTTTGGAAACTTGGTTTACTTTTTTGTGGAAAAGAGAAGGCTTTGAAAAATTTTTTGTAAGTTGTACAAATACACTTTGAAATTTTTCTAATAATTTTTTTTTTACACAGCATTACAATGGAAACTAATAGATGGTGTATTCCAATTTTTGAAGATCCTACTCAATCAATTGATATTACTGAAAAAAATTTAAAAGTTCAAATTAGTTTTCTATTTCATTGTTACCACAATGCCTACTATAGCAGATTTCATGTAACTTTTGATTCTGCTATCTGTAAACAATTCTTTAACTATCAATTATTAGGAGCATGTTGTATTAAAGAGGCATTAGCTGAACCTTCAGACAATGTAGAAGAGCTAAAAGTTATTTTTAAATATATTCAAAAATTAACATCTGTATCAAAAAAATATATGAGAAAATTTTATAAAAAACAGCTAGACTTAAAAAATTATAGATTCTTAAAAGATTTAATGAAAACAGTTAAAGAGGAAGATGCTTTTAAAAATATTTTAGACTTTTATGAAAAGAAAGTGTTAAATATAAATAAAAAAAATTTGGAAATCATTGGAGAAAGAAGTGATAAAGTATTCAGCAACTGGAAAAAAAAGTTACTTAAGTTCTATAATGACTGCCATGCTCCAACTCCAACTAAAGAAACAACAGCAACAACAACCAACCCTATCTCTCAATCATCTGCAACTGAAAATGAATTGGAAAATGAAACAACAACTCCAGCAGAAAACACAGACATCATTGTACCTGCACAGCCAACTGCTAGTACTGCAAGAAGATTCTCAGAAGAAACAACAATTATTGAACATAGACAACAATCTGGAATTGAAACTGTTACACCACAACTATTTGAATCAGGAGAAGAATATTTTCAAGAACAAGAAATGGCTATATCAGCACTGCAGTCAGAATTGGAACCACTTACAACAGAAATTGAATCTGCACAACCAACAACTGGATTGGAATCTGCACCACAATCAACTGGAATTGAACCTGCACCACCAACAACTGGATTGGAATCTGAGTTACCATCTACAAATTGTGAAAATATTGAGGAAATGGATATGGAAATCTACAATCAGATGGGTCTTGGAGAGAATTTGGAAGTTGGAGAAATGATGCAGTTGGATGAGGATGTCCAGAATGATGATGCTGTAAGTAGACAGGATTTTTTTTTTAATGAGTTACAAAGAAAGAATGAAAGGAAATATAAATTTCAAAATATGTTAATTATTCAAAGAACAATCAATACTTTCAATGATCCTGATTTTTCACAAAAAACTCAACAGAACTTCCTTAAAAAAACAAAACCTTTCCATGATATTTTATCAGATTATACAATTTTAACAAATGATTTTCTAAAATTAGAAAATGGTAAATTCTTAAAGGCTAAAAATATGTTAAAAATTGATAAAAGCTTTCAGGTGTTTAGTATTGAAAATTTAACAATTCAAGATGTCTTTTGTATAATTAAGGGATGGAATTTAAGAACAACAAATATTTTAATTTACTCAAAAATATTTCTGTAGATTTTGATATAAAAAAAGCAGTAAAGCAATTGCCTTTTTCCAATCTGATTTTACAATTTTAACAGATCAATTTGTTAATTTAAATGAAAAAAAATGGGAAAAGGTACAATCTATAATTAAAACAGAAAAAAAGTACAAATGTTTTGTATAGAAAATTTAGAAATGGATGATTTACTTCCAATTGTAACTGGTTGGAAATTGATTACAAGTAATCTTTTTGTATATATAAAGCATAATTCTAAAAATATTGATATTAAGAAAATTGTTAAGCAGCTACCTTTTTCCAAAAATAACTTGTATTTCACAAAAAAATCATTTGATAAGAATATTTGTCAAGATTTGAAAGTAATGGGATGTAAATTATTAAACCATCCTAATGAAATATGTAAAAAAGAAGAAACTCTTGTTATTAGATTGCTTAAAGAATTAACATCTGCTGTTAAAAATTAAATTCAGTGTTCAAATTATTTGTATTAGCTTTGGTCTTTTTTAATCAAACTTGTTGTTTATATATTCTTACTATTTCTTTTAAGTGGTTTGTATATTTGTTGTAAAAATAAAATTGAAAAAATCATATAGTCAGATTCATTTTTTCTGTCAGACTTTACTTTCACTAGAAACTTTCACTAAAAAAATTTGTTTTTTCTTGTGGGAAAACATTCCCAATTGCATTTCAGTGCAAGATATTTTCTCACAAGACAATAAAAATTACAGAACACATGTTCATGGCATGTAAATATATATATTAAATTATATAAAGGTGTTTGTATGTGAATTATTTTAATCAAATATTCTATAAAATTGATAGAAAATGGACTATTGTTTTTGAAAAATTTATCAATAAATCTCTTGTTATTATAATATTTATTGTAATACCTGTACAATCATTCCCATAATATTTACAAATCTGTTAATTTAAGTTTTAGATATTAAAAATATAAGAATTAAAGATATTTTCTACATTTTCTCCATCTTGAAATATGACTACTACATGCATGTTAAAAAAAATAAGTTAAGTATTCACAAATCAACATAGAGTATTTTACAGATAAACCTTACAGCTTGTTGGGAAAACATCATTTCATTTCCAACTTTTGAAGGAGTAGGAGCTCTTTGTAATTTTGTAATGATTTATATTTTCTGATGGATTATTCTGATTTTTCCTTTGAAATATCTAACATGAATAATTCATCAGAAAGTAAATAAAGTATTTTGTAGCCTAATCTTTGTGTAGGTTATCCAGTTGAGAATTCTTCCAATGGAGTGTTCTTTGAAGTACTGGAGAAAAAGCTCTGCAGTTTATATAGTATGTTTCTAGGTATAAGTTTTTTGTATTATAATTATTTGTAATTGTATTCTCTCAGATTGTATTTACTGAAAGCCTTTATGAGGTGTTCAAATACATGATGGCTGTTTTCAATTCAATTTCTCATTTGAGATACTGAATTCTGTATTAAATTGTCTTGTTTCCTTAATTTTTGACTGATTTCTCTTATATGATATCTTTCAAAAAATTAACTTAAAAAGGCATTTTCAACTACTTGATAATGCTTTTTTGTCTTTTGTTTTTCATGTTGTAAGTTTAGGAAGTATTTTGTAGGTCAGAGCTCAAAGCTTCTTTAAAAGAATTAAAATCTTCTCAAAAAATAGATAACTTTTTTGGTAAGTTTATCAAACAATGTTTCTTTTAATTGTGTTCTGCTTCCTTTTATTTTTACAGAAAAAGAAATTATCTAAAAGCTGGAGTTTTGCCTTTTATCTGGAAACATCTTTGATGAATATTTGAATGGATAGTAAAAATAAAATTTTAACTCTTTATTTGTATACAAACAACTTTATTTTAATTTTTTTTCAGGTTATTGTCCTTTAAAAACTGCTTTTTTGGCTTAGAAAAATAAAAGAAAGAAACAATCCACAACAATCATTTGTCATCTGACTAATCAAGAATTTACTGAGAGACTAACAAGCTGGCTAACTGGATTAATTGACTTTAAAACATTAAATTTTAAACCTGCAATTGTTAAAAAAAAAGAAAACTTGAAACTTTGTGTTTATTAGTTACTTTTGACCCAGATAATTGTGTTGTGCAAAAATGTTATTTATTTAAATATGTAATTTATAAAAAGCCTACTTTTCTTTCTTAAAGACATTGAAATGAAATTTTCAATATATATTCTTTTTTGTTGATATGAAAAATTGAAAAAAAAATTGTGTATAGTTTTATGCAGAAATAATTTGTTTTCTTTTTAAAAGTTCATTAAATAATTGTATTTTTAAATTTCTTACAAAATGAACTAATAAATGAAGATATGCATGAAAAAACCTTCTATTTACATTAGTTTATTTTCTAAGTGACAATTTTAAAGTTTTTCTTTTCCCAATTACATAGCCTTAAAAAGAACTTTTTAACCAAAATTTTTGGAAGCCATAACTACTTAACTATTGGAGATAATTAAATAATTAAAATGAATTTGAGACTGCCATACAGAAATTAGTCAAAATAGCAATTTTCAAATAACTACATTTATTAATAACAAAGTTAATTTTCAGTCAAATATTTGATATATTGACTGGTTGGTCATAAATATCAACCAAATTTCATGGAGCCATAACTCATGAACCATAAAAGATAATTGAATTCTGTAAAAAGATTTGACATCGGCATAATAAAATTGAAGTAGATACCAAATTTCAAATTTCTACATTTACAAATAACAAAGTTAGTTTTTACATGACGAATATTTATAAATATTTGAAAAATTTTTGAAAAAATTTTTTCTATTGGAAATTGTTTTAAATGTCAATTTTGGTGTATTTTTTCTTTGACTGCTTCCCAAAATCATGTGGGACTCTTGAAATGTGAGAATTCTGTTTCTCTTTTTTGATTTAATCAAAAAAAAACCTTTGCAAACCCCAACCAGTAAAGAGAATGTGGGATGACAGGAACTAATACATAAGCCATAACCAATGACTAAAACAAAACTTTTTCCATGAGATTGACTTTTTTCAATTCAAAACTAGAACATTTAAGCAAAAGATTAAAAATTTTTTCTTTCCCTTTAAAAAAGATAAAGATTCTCATACATGTGACTGTGAAGTAATCTATCTTTTTTTGGTAAATTGTTGGAGTTTGTTGTGTTGATAATGTTTTATTGTTAAAGCCAAATGATGAAATTCTTTACTATTTTCTTAAGAATCATTATACATTCAATTATGATGATTTAGGATTTCTGATGGCAGATTTTAAACATTTTTAAGCAGATTTTAAGCATTTTTAAGCAGATTTTAAGCATTTTTAAGCAGATTTTAAGCATTTTGTAGATTTTTTGGCTTTTGTTGATTTTGTGGATTTTTTAGACTTTGTAGACTTTTTAAGATTTCATGATATTTTTGTATTTGAAAAAATTTTTTTGTTTAAATGTTAAAAAACTTTTTAAGAATATCAGTTAAAAATAATAAGGCTGAACAGTTCATATTTAATTCCCTCCAAATATTTAGACAAACAAAACTTGGTGCAATATATAACATTTCATTTATCTTATGGGGAACAAAACACATTTTATATATCACCAACTTATAGATAGTAATGAGCATTTTCCCACTAAATAAAAAATTTGCTTTCCCAATCCATTCATTAAATCCCACCAAACACCTAGACAAACAAAATCCAAGCCATGTAGGTAGCATTTTATTTTTTATTTTATATTTATCTTAAGCTCAATATACACACTCTTTTTCACACCAACTTACATATAGGAACTCACTTAACTCAACTAATATATATTTTTTCCAATCCATTCATTAGCCAAACTCAACTTATTTTTTCATGGACTTTCTAAATGAATGTTGGAAAGAGAGAAATAAAAACAAAAATAACATTTACAATTAAGGGATTATATTTCTTCCAATCCATTCATTAGCCAAAATCAACTGAACATACTTGGACTAATAAAATGAATGTTGGAGAATAAGCTATAAGGTACAAATTTGCAATTCACTCTATCAAATATTTTCCTTTGTCTTATTTATACTTATTAAAATATATCTTATTGGTTCAGGGTTCCCTTAACAAATTCATTATAATCCATACTTACACAGCTTCCAACCCATTCATTAACCAAAAGCCAACTTTCAGGTATCAATTAAATGAATGCTGGAGAAAGATTTAACAAATATAGATTCCTTCCATTCTTACATCAAACAAATCAAAAGCAAAATTCAAAAAAGAATGAGGAATCCTAACATCTTCCCTAATACTTATATTATTCATTACAAACAAAACATAGGTAGATAATTGGGAATTATCCAAATTTCCTTTCCAATCCATTCATTAGCCAGAACAACTTATCACTGGGCAATCTAAATGAATGTTGGAAAATAAAATAAAACACAATACAGGATCTAACTTTTAAACTATATTATTTCAAAATACTCCTAAGAATAATCCCTTAATCTTTTAGCTCTTTCTAGCCACAAATACAAACTAGGAATTCTCTCTGCAAAACTCAACCTAAATAGCACATTTCATTCATTCACACACACTTATGCTATATTTCCCTCTACTTAATCCCACAATACATCAACAAGCTTCATATATATTTAATCCATCTAGCTATCATTTACAGCAATACAATTCCAAAATTTTATCTTCACTTTTCCATCTTATTTAATTTTCTCACCTTTACTAGGTAATTTTTATTTTTATTTTCTAGTTTTTATTCTCTAATTTTTGTTTTTTCTTTGTCTATTTTTATTTGCTATTTCTTATTTTTTATTTATTTTTCTATTAATTTTTACTTTTTTGCTTAAACTTATATCTGAATATTAGTTGCTATCATCTATATAACTCACTTCAATATACTTCCCCTTTATTAGCTTGGAGGCCAGTATATTATTGGCATGCTCTATTTTTCCTTTATTTCCAAACCTTCAATATAATTATTCTCTTAATTTATCATTTCTGTATTTCTATTTGTTACTAGCCTTAGTTATAAATCAAGAATCTTTATCTGTACATAAACCAAAATCTGGAGAGAAGCTTTTTATTAAGATTCTCAAACCTCTCATTCATTCTTTTATATTAGACCCTGAAGAGTCCCAGATATACAAAGTTAAAAGAGAGGGGGACGAAACCATGGTAGGTCGAGTAGGTAGGAAATTATTACAAAATTCAGAAAAAAATTTTTTCTATTGGAAATTGTTTTAAATGTCAATTTTGGTGTATTTTTTCTTTGACTGCTTCCCAAATTCCATTGGGACTCTTGAAATGTGAGAATTCTGTTTCTCTTTTTTGATTTAATCAAAAAAAAAACCTCTGCAAACCTCTCTTTCTTTCTTTTGGTGTAGTAGACCCTGAAGAGTCCCAGGTTTAAAAATTTAGTAGAGAGGGGGACGAATCCACGGTAGGTCGAGTAGGTAGGAAATAATAAAAAATTTCAGAAAAAAATTTTTTGAAAATTTTTTGAAAAAATCTTTTCTCTTGGAAATTGTTTTAAATGTCGATTTTGGTGTATTTTTTCTTAGACTGCTTCCCAAATTCCATTGGGACTCTTGAAATGTGAGAATTCTGTTTCTCTTTTTTGATTTAATCAAAAAAAACCTTTGCAAACCCTAACCTAAAGCTATTTAGCGTATAATAGTTTGAAACCTTTTAGAAATAAATTTGCAAGTTGGTACAACATTATTTGCTTTTAAATATGTTTGAAAGTATTTATTCAAATCTCAATTTCATTGACATGTATACTTTTTCACACTTTTTTAGGCATAATGAAAATTTTATGTTTCATCATGCACAACTTTTTCACTCTTTGACATCTTTTGCTTGCTGGGGCTACAGCGCAAAGTGCACATTGAGCTTTACTTATACCTTTCTTGTTGCTAAAGAGCTTAGCAAGGAATCTCTGTTTTGAAACAATAAAGTAAATAAGTTGTGAAAAAATTGTGTTTGTTTTACCTTAGCTATTTCATTTTCCATTTCTTCATCAATTGCACGTTCCTTTAAATCTATTAATTCATTTTCACCATCAGAGCTTTCATTTTCCACCAAATCACTAACAAGCTCACTTGCATGAGCTTGGTAGATTGCAAATAGCACAAATAAGGATACAGCAAGAATTTTCATTTTGAACAGTTAGTTTAGCAAACTGGAAACATTGCATGGATATTTATAGTGAAAAAAGTATAATTAATTGGAATGGATAATTACAGTAATTAATATTGTCATTATATATCATGACTTGAAATATGTTGAAATAAAGTGATTATGAGGGAATCATCATTTTTTATCAATAGTTCACTTAATTATTTTTGAGCACAGGTGTACATTTGTTATATTGTAATTTGTACACAAATGATTGTTACAGTTCACCATACTTTGAATTTTTTAAATGTTAATACTTGATTATCAACATTTGATAAAAATGGTGAATTCCCCTATTATCACACAACTTTTAATGTGTTTTAGAATTATAACAGTACTGGTTCTAATCTAATTAATCTTTGGACATCCTGTAACTATAATGATAATTCCCTTATGTCTATAAATAGAAATTTTCTGAATTTATTTTTTTCAAATTTTGTCAAGGTTCATACTCACAAATTCTACATTGTTTATGAAAGATTTGAATTAAAAAGTAATGAAAATGAAAAGATTGATATATTAAAAATTGGAAATTTTACAAGAATGATACTGATTAATAAAACTTTAATGAATAAAATTTAAATTTCAAAAATTTTAAAAAAAAATTCCTTTTTAAAAATTAATTGTTTTTTTTTTGTTGTGTTTTTTTTTCAGTGGGTAAAACTTTTCTAATGGTGTAATGGTACATTATAATATATGTCAAAGAAAACTGGTATCATTCTCTGTGACATATATCAAAAAAAAAAAAACAATATATTGTGAAGAATGAAAAGATCTTAAAAAAAAACATGACAGTACCAGAAATTTAATACCACAATAGTTAATATATTTTTTCAACATATATAAAATGATTTTTTAATTATCAAGTAAAATTTCTATTTTTAATTAAAAAATCAAAATGCAATGTAAAAAGTGAGAAAATCACGATTCAAGTTATGATTTGTTTATTTCAAAACTATAATTATTTTGTAGTGGAAAGCATTCTAAATATGTGTACACTTATGAACTATAGTTTATAGATATTTTATAAATGATACTTACTATATGGTAGAAGTGTTGAAGTAGATGTTGCCTCTAGGGTAGATGGTACTGAACTGCCAGAATCAACCCCTTTTATAGGCAAAGGATAAGATGTTACATAACAAACATGTTGACAACAACAACAAGTGTTTATTTACATAAATATGATGTAAGAATTGACCCTTGAGAGGTAACCTACACAAAGTTGTTGTTGTTTACATCACTATTGCATAGTGAACAGGTCTAGTATTACTTTAGAATACAGTTATATTATTCTTACAGTTTGGTTCTATATTCATCCTTCATCAATTCTACATCTCTCTTCTAAGTGGCTTACTCCTGGTTCGGTTCTATTTGGACCAGTACTTACCTACAACCTCAGCAGGAAAGTACAGGGTTCATATTTAGTTTGAAGATTAATGAGTCAACACCACATTAAAAGTAGATACTTAAATGTACCACTTCTTCAATTGCTTTCAAAATATTTATGCTTCAACAACAAAATAGTTTGTACATAATTTATTACACAGTATCTTTATAAGTAGCACATTTAATATGATATATATTAAATAAAACCTGAAGAAGAACCTTTCCTATATTTGGAACTCTTCATCCTCTCTGTAGGTGTAGGTCAGTGGACCCTGATGAGTCCTTGGTATTGAAAATAGAGAGGAGGGCGAAACCGTGGTAGGTTGAGTATGTAGGAAATTATACAAAATTTCAGAAAAAAAGGTTTTGAAAATTTTTTGAAAAAATTTTTTCTATTGGAAATTGTTTTAAACGTCGATTTTGGTGTATTTTTTCTTTGACTGCTTCCCAAAATCGATTGGGACTCTTGAAATGTGAGAATCCTGTTTCTCTGTTTTGATTTAGTCAAAAAAAACCGTGTACGAACCAAACACCTAACCAAACCTAACCTTTACCAACTACAATTGTTACCTAACCTTCAACTGGAACCCTAACCTAACAAGGATACAGAAGGTTACATTCCACAATAACAAAGGAAAAGTTACTATTAACCATTTCCTATAAGATATAATCATCAAGACCTGACCTGGGAGTGTTTTGTGTGTGCCCCCAACCCAACCAAACCTAAACCCTAACCCTAACCCTAGCTTCAATAGAATTGGTAATGACTGTTTTCAAAGATTTTTGGAAAGTCTCTCTCCAGTCGTACCCATTTTGGAATGTATTTTGATCCGAAGTATCGGAATTGATGATGACATTGCAAAAGCATTCATAGACTTTTTAAATCAACTGCGAAGCTTGCTTAAAGTTGATATATCGAATAATGAATTGGCGAAACAATACATAAAAGAAATAAGCAAATTTGCTAGTGAAAAATAAGCGAAAGTATGGGGTAAAGGTGTCATTCTACCTTTAGATTGAACAGCAACAATTCAACAATGAGAAGGAATTGCGTAATAGAATATATTATAGACAAAAATAAGTATACAATTTCAAGAACAATACACTATTTCAAGTAGAATGATGATAATTGCTGCATTTTGTTTAATTCTATAAATGGGAAGACTTTTTAACGATTTACTATTATGTATATTTGTATGTATATAACAACCAAACAGCTATAAGAATTGACTTGTCGACTGCATGAAGAAGGAAAAGATTTTAAAAGATGAAAGTTTTACTAACAATTTGGTGTTTTATAATTTTTTATAATAGTTCAAGAACAATATCAGTGTATAAAAGCTGTAGGCAAGGGCTATTAAACAACAACCTAATTAATTCCACTTATAAAATTCAACCAATACAAGGTGGTGAAATATTTGATATTTACTGCTCTGTAAACTCTTTCACCAATGAGATTATAACGGAAATCTGGAATGATGTTGAACAGAATGTACTGTTTCAGTCTATTGGCGACGGTTACGTAACTGTCAATATTAACTATCAGAATTTAAGCAATGTGGAATTGAGTAGGATTTTAGAATTTGCTGGAGATTGCAGTCAAGAAATGTCAATAATGGTGGATGGCTCGCAGGCGAAAGTATTAAATTTTACATTCTTTGACAATAGTACATTCTCATTGAATGAATTTAATGATAATATCTGCAAATGTCTAATATCTACTGTGTGTTTGGAGACAAACAACAGATCAAAGGAATGCGTCAATACTGGAGATACAAATTTCCATCAAATATACAATACATCCGGAGGAATATCAGTTTTATCAGAGAGATTACCTCTAATGAAAACTGTCTACGGAGACCTAGACGATCCTATTAAATGGGTAAAACATTATATTGGGCCATTACGTTGCGTTTCTCCAATGAATAGAAGACTTTGGCTATTGTCAAATACGTGCTATAATGCAGATTTAACAGTACTGGAGGATAATGACACCAGTACGTGTATTAATTTTAAACTATCTGAAGTTTTCCTTCAAGTGAACAATATGAAAACGATGAGAATACACACAGACTCTGATAGGAATTTCAATGCTTATTCCTATTCAAAGGCGGTAGATGGAAAGGTGAGAATGTGCCAAGATATGAATAACTTGACCTTCTCTTGCAACAATTATTCGAAAGAAATAATTATCTATTTGTGGAATGACGTGGAGAATAGGATTAAACTGTGTGAAATTGAAATGATACCTTAATTCAAATGGGACAATAGTTTCATTAGATTCATTTTTATTGTTTTAAAAATCACTATTACTCCTATTAAAGGGGTTCAATATCCCAATGCATTTTTCGTAATGATAGTACTTGGGAAGTAGATATCTATTGAATATCCTCTTCTCCCCAAACAGTACAGTCGATTCCTGTCAATAAATATTGAATGTAAAACAAGTAGCTTTCTTCTCCAATTATGTCAACATGTATATAAGTTATTTCTACAAAAATTTATAGGAAGACAGAGAGAGAGAGAGAGAGAGAGAGAGAGCCATACAAACAAACAGACAAACAAACAAATAAATACACTAACAGAGAGTGAGAGAGTTTGCGAACGTCAAGTCAATTAGTAACCTTGTCTACTTTGTCCATTTATATCATCTATCTCTTTTTAAAATTCGCCCAACTTAAGAATTTCACATAACGAGACGTCAAGTACAGTTGGGGCTGCTTGAGTGGGCAACTATTTTATTAAAACTATAAATACGAATGAAATAAGAGAGAAGGAAAAGTAATATTTATAATATTAAAAAAAGTCTTAATAGAAATGTGAAACTTGTAAGAGATATTGAATATTTTATTGAATGGTTTATTATTATTGAACGTTTGTTGCTTTATTATTTGTTGAAGAAATGACAAAGATTACTAGCGTATTTCTTATAATAAGCATATTTACTGTAAATATAAAATATGGAGAGTTGTTTTTTTTCAAGGGACTTTTCTCCAAAAAAAAGTCAATAGGCAAGTTCAATGGCAAAAATTACCATTTTACCAAATTCAATCGAAATTGTACAAATGAATTTTGCTATGGATATGTGACATATGAATATAGGAAACAAAAACGTCTTCTTTGCTCTGGTAGCAGAAGAAGTGGAGCATTCATTAGCGATCACATATGCAAAAAAATGGGATTTGATTCATTGTATTCACTTGGATTTTTAACGAGTTGTTTAGTCAATAAATGATTGTTCTATCATTCCATATTTACTAATATTTGAATTGGTTTTTATTGTAGAAACGAGCAGGGGCGGATGTTCTCATGGTACAGAATGTAAATCTAGGCGAAAATGTCTGTTTTACAATTTGAATTTACGAAAAGCTGTTACGCTGCTATGTTTAAAAAAGACAAACACGTGTATAGTTTTATTCTTTTAATGAATTTTATTAATGAAGATCGTTAATTGTCAGTTTCTTCTATTTCATTTCTTTTAGATTTTTATAGCTTTACTAAAGCGAATAGATACCATATGAGAGGTGTAATCTATGCCAGAAAGGATGATATCTCGTATAGTGTTTGCGTTGAAAGTGCTCAAATCTTAAACAGCACTATCTGTCCAAAAGTTTTCCACATGACGCACAAAGAACGTCCAATAGGAGATATGGCGTTTAATCAAACGCATT